TGTTCCTGTTGCAGAAATATCTCATATTCTTTTCTAATATATACCTTTGTTTTTCGCCATCACAGGCTGGTCCAGACACTCAGATTACAGATATGAAACAATCGTGGTTTTGATGAATGAGTTTCATAAAGTAGGGAATATATATTTTTAAGAGAATAACAATGATCCTCTAGCAAGGTCAGCGTGACTGACAAGGTCGTTTCACAAAAAAATATTCGTTTTGAAGCTGCTTGAATGAAGCCACATTAACGATTGTGAATGCGCTGTAGCTGACACAACACTGGGGTATGCACGTTAATTATTACAATTATATCATGCACATGAATATGAGTCTGTCTTATGTGGGTTCACAGAGTTTCACCAAACCATATTAGACACAAATCATAATCAGGGTGTCTCACAGTTAGACACAGCAGTGTGTCGTGTTGATTATAGTGCTCGTACACAAAACTATGTCCTGTGAATAATAGGCGAACTCAGCAACAAGGAAACCGTAAACAAAAGCATGTTAGGGCTGAATGGTGTCGGTTGCCCTCAAGGCCAGACTACGCTATCTACACTCATGACACTGGCAGCGCTATCGGCCGCACAGGCAGGGATGCCAAACTCAAGGTTAAAGATAAGATTGGAGTATCGGATACTCTAACGGTCGAATTACGCTACATTATTGACATCATGCATTTCACAACAGCACTGGGGCGGTGACGCGCAAAAGGATTATTTTCAATATGCTTTCTTTTACATGTCATTAAAAAAATGTTGTTTTGGAGTACTTTCGAAGAAGACTGTTCTTCCCGTCACTTCCTCCGTTTATTATTTGGAAAGTTGCATCATGCATGGACAATTGAAAGCCTTGCACTGAACAAAACACAGTATTGCAGTGCATCAATGGCACGGGATGTCAGACATGATCTGAACAATTACCGCTTCCTTAGAGACATAACTCAATTCCAGTTGTTTTGTGATTTTGTGATGTATATCGATTTTAATAAACATTCTTTTCCCCGAAATTTCCTGGAATCATGAGAATGTTTGCATCTCTGTTTACAGGGTAATATCTAGCAGAAATGTGTTTTTCCTAGAGCTTTTACGTATTGAAGGGCCTCTTTGTAGTATATAGACTATATAAAGGTAAAACTATACTGTCTTACAACAACCCAAAGCTTCATTCAAATAATAATCTCAAGAGAAGAATTAGACAACTCTCGATCACTGTCTCGCCGAGTTCTCGAACCCCGGGTCGGACCAGTTGGAGATGAGCTCGGTGTCGTAGTAGGAGTACCAGTACCACAGGTTGAGGAGCCCGTAGGACGCCGGGAAGAGGATGCGACTGACGGTGTCGATGGCGGAGACGGAGTTGACGGAGCGCTGGAGACACGCCCTCCGCTGCCGCTCCCGTCGGTACTGGTCGTCTCCTGTGAGGGCGAAGAGACAGACGGAAGTGAGAGGGAATAACCGCGAACGAGGGAAGAGGGAAAATGGAATGGTAAATGGCAAAACCTGGCTTAAAGATAATCCTGATATGATGCTTTGGAGGCACAAAGGCCGCCTCTCGAAATATCCGAAGGTAAGGCTATGGAATGCGGTTGTAAACCCAGCATCGCCATCTCCAAGCACAAAATATTCCTTTTCCTCGCGTTTCTTACTGCATTTCGAAATTCCTAGAGCAACGTGCAATCTTTTCCGGGAATACATTTCAAGACTTTGTTGAAAATCAGAGAAAGGATCTTGGCCCATGTATTCAGACCCATAACGATAACGTTATAAGATATGCATGCAGATATATTATTAATAAAATGAAGGAGTTCGTAGCGTATGTAAATTTTGTGAGTATATGTGTGTATGTGTGTGTGTGTGTGTGTGGTGGTGTGTGTGTGTGGTGTCTGTGTGTGTGTGTGTGTGTGTGTGTGTGTGTGTGTGTGTGAATTTACAAATATTACGTCAAGTGTATGCTGCATCCGGAATTTGGAGAATACATGTAACACTTTCCAAGAATATATTTTGTCATTATCCTCTTTGGTTAAATTACATAGTCTTGGAATCTTTTATTTAGCTGTTCATCTTAAAAATATTTTGTGACCATTTATACCATATATATAGCTGCCACATGTAGTTTTTTATCTTCTATATGTTCTAATATCTTAATGGACTATTTACGTTCTTGCTGGCTGTCTTTTCGGCTTCTGTACAACAAAGGCCAAGACAGAGGAAGTGGGAGAGAGGGAGGGAGGAGAGAGAGAGAGAGGGGAGATAGAGGGAGAGAGGGTGGGAGGGAGAGAGAGAGAGAGACAGGGGGAGATGAGGGAGAGAGAGGAGAGAGAGAGAAGGGAGACAGAGGGAGAGACGAGTGGAGAGAAGGGGAAGAGAAAAAGGAGGGAGAGAGGGAGAAATAGGGAGAGGCCTAAAGACGTGAAACCGAGTCCCCTCTGAGCGCGCTAACGAGTGCTGCCCCCCTCCCTCCTCCCACCCCCAAGTAAGTCTCCCTTCGAATTGGATTGATTATTTTTAAAATTCAACTTATTATGAATACGATTATTTGTAGAATAAACAAGTCGAGCCTTTTGGTGTGTTATGACCTCACTAAACCCCTTTATTAGTTGTACGTGGAATCTTAAAGTAGTTTGATTTTAATATAAGAATTGAAACATTCATAGATAACGCAGAGAAGAAAAAAATGCACAATCAGGGTGACAATAATCATTAAAAGATCTAATAGAGAATAAATACATGTAATCAGGACTGATAAGAATTATTCCATAGAACAGTTTTAAAGGAATGTATAGAGAAGAACCAAAATCCGCTTGAACTACGGAGGACCAGGAGAGACACGCCCACAATAATCATTAAGAAACGAATAGAAAAATACATGTAATTCTCAGACACATCTGCTATTAGGGCCGTTTTAGAAGGAAACAAGGATAGAGAAGAACCAAAATGCGTCTGAACCACAGAGGACCAGGCAGATAGGTCTGTAATTCTCAGACCTATCTGCCATAGAGTCGTTTTAAAGGGGAAAAAAAGGATAGAGAAGAACCGCTGCGAACCATGAACCGCCCAGAACACCGACCTACGACACAGTGGAGGAACTGCGTCCAGCACCGCTCCTTCTTCTCCGTCTGCGTCTCCGCCGTCCTGAAGGTCGCCAGGCAGTCCCCCGCATGGTTCAGCACCCCGGCGTCCTGCGGGAGGAGGAGGGGGAGGGGAGGGTGAGTACAGGGGTCTCTCAGATGCTCTTACTACTAACTAGATTTGCGAGAGGAAGATGGCGAGAGATTGGGTAACAGAGGGGAGAGGGGGGAGGGGGAGGGACGGCCTAATGGAGGGAATTCGCCACATCTCTCCTGATGTCGGGACTGCTGAGGACACGAGAGCATCTGTAAAAGAATGTTTTTGAGGGAAAGTCTTAGTAATCTTGACAATAAACATATTTTAGTATATACATACATACATGCGCTAGTATGGGTGTGTGTGTGTGCGTGTGTGTATGTGTTTATATATACGCATATAATACACAAATATATATAAATATATATATACACACACACACACACACGCATATGCGCATTCACACACACACACACATGTGCATGTATTTATGGGTTATATATACAATACACATACACATATACATACATACATAATATATATATATATATATATATATATATATATATATATATATATTACACACACACACACACACACACACACACACACACACACACACATACACATGCATGTGTGTGTGCATTTATCTTTTATGTACATATGTATATATATATATATATATATATATATATATATATATAATATATATATATTATATATATATATATATAATAAATAATAAATAAATAAATAAAAATATAATATAAATATAATAAATAAATAATAAATATATAAATAATATAAATAAATAATATAATATAAATAATATAATAATATAAATAAATAATAATAAATATAAATAAATATATATATATATATATATATATATATATATATGGCAGCGACTGATATTTGTTCCCTTAGTCATCTCATCAACAGGTCACTCGAGTTCGTACCATTTGAGAGTTCAATGCTGACCCACTATGCGACATGCATGAGGTCAGATAAGGAGAATATGTGGCCACGTTTATTAGATTCATCAGGCGGAAACAATGCCACGCTGAAAGGACGACGATCGAAAGGACACAGCCCTCGTCGGCCAGTTAGGCATACCGATATCGGGGACGACACCAATAAAGACAAAAGGGTAACTAGGGTAAAGGCCCACACTCTCCCCCATCATGTTAGACACGTCTCGAAAAACACTAAGGATGTTCCTGTTGAGTCAGTGGAGTGTCACTGATGGGTCTGATTCTTGCGAGGCCCTTGTGCCATCTCCCGGCCTTTGACCTTATCGGCCAGTTGTCTCCCTCAGCACTGTTTGTACACCGCAGGCCGTGTGTAAGAATGGTGTGCACGATTAAATGAACTGTGTGAATACAGCAAGCAAGAAACAATGTAATTATTGACTGCTTAATAGAGCATTTTAAGCTGCGAAATCTGGAGCACTATCTCTCATCAAATGAAAGTCTTTTGGGAGAGGGTGCCTCGGCTAAAGTCTACGCAGTTGATATTCCCGGATACCTCAAACTATGCCTTAAATTCTTGAAATGGAAGGCAAGTCATGTCCTTGGAATTCCGCGATTCATAGCCGTGTGTAATTGCCCGCCGTCGATTCTCATGACACAGGTAATTGACTCTTTGGGATATGTTGGAAAGTGAAGTGCCCTTCGCTATGACGGAGGAGCTTTTACTTGAGATCTTTCGGCAGCGAACGCTCATCCTGCAGGCCATGCATTGGGCGCGCTTCGCTTACAATGATTTGAAGACTGATTGAGCGGCCTTGGAATTCAGCGAGGACTCAGTCCATGTTACTCTCCTTGTAGAGGTGTCCCCAAAACACCGTCACCGCCGAGGTCATTCTGTGTGTCAACAGATTCATGTTGTTTCTTGGGCGGTTCGCTTTCATCAGATTCTATCCCCATTATAGTCCTTTTCTGCGTCGAATCGGCGTTTAGGAGATATGCGACCTTCATCGCTGTCTTCGTCACTCATCCTCTTAATTATTTCTGAACAATTTTTAACACTTTTAACATCTTTGAGACATTTTGAACATTACTGAACCATTTTGAACTTTTAGAAAGTGTTTTATCTTTATATAATGATTCATGATTTTCATTCTTTAGATACCTTTATAGGGATGTCCCCAAAATACCGTAATTTTGAACCTTTTGAAAGGGTTATACCTTTATTTATTACATTACATACACTCATGCACACATAAACCTGACGTCAACCAAATCTTGCCGAGTCCGACTCACGGAGTTGAGCGTGGCGTAGAGCGTGGCGGCGCTTCGCGGGCAGTTCGGGTGATTCGAATTCAGGAAGACGACCTCGATGCGACCTTCGACCGAGGTGCCACAGGCGGCGTCGTGGGGGGAGTCGTACGTCTGCACGCACTCCTCCACGACCTCAGGGCTGCAGTCCTCGATGATCTCCAGGTCCTCCCACTCCTCCTCCTCGGCCATGATCTCCCCGGAGCCGACCTGCGGGAGATGGGCGTGGGAGCTAGATGGGGGATTGGGAGTCTCGGGAGATGGGAAGGCAGATGGAGATGGAAGCAGAGACAGATAGATAGATAGAGAGAGAGAGATTGAGATAGAGATGGAGAGATAGATTGTGATACACATAGATAGATTGAGATAGAGATAGAGAGATGAGATAGAGAGATAGAGAGATAGATATAGATTAGATGAGTGAGGATAGATATAGATAGAGTAAGATAGAGAGATAGATTGTGACAGATATAGATCGACTGAGATAGAGATAGAGAGATAAATTGTGATACATATAGATAGATTGAGAAAGAGATAGCTAAATAGAGATAGAGATAGAAAAATAGATTGAGATAGAGATAGATCGATGGACTGCGATAGAGATAGAGAGATAGACTGATATAGAGACAGATAAATTGAAGAATAGATTGAGATAGAGATAGATAGATTGAAGAAATAGATTGAGATAGAGATAGATAGATTGAGATAGAGATAGATAGATTGAGATAGAGATGGAGAGATAGATTGAGATTATGATAGATAGATAGAGATAGATACATTAAGATAGAGATTGAGAGATAGGTTGAGATGAAGATAGGTGGAATGAGATAGAATGATAGACTGAGGTAGAGATAGACTGAGATAGAGATAGATAGGTTGAGATAGAGAAAGACAGATAGATAGATAAAGAAGAGAGGGAGAGAGACAGACATATATTTCTTGAAAAAGAAAAAAAAAAGAGACCAGATACACAAATCAAGCTGCCGGACCCTCCCCCCAAAAAAAAAAAAAATCCTCCCTCCCCCCAAAAAAAAAAAAAAAATTCTCCCCCCCCATACCTTCGTGAAGAAATGCACTCCGGCGAACTGCAGGAGCGTGGCGATGCAGTAGCCGAAGCTCATGAGGATGAACCAGTCGAGGGCGGTGGCGTAGTGCACCTTCGGGAGGTCCGTCCGGGTGTCCAGGCTGATGGTCGCCAGCGTCAGCACCGTGATGATGCCTGCAGGAGGGACGGGAGGCTTGGGGTTTCCTTTGGCTGGAGTGTGGGTTGTAAATGCGTTGGGTCGTGGGGTCGTTGTGTGTGTTTTTTGTTTTGTGTGTCTTTTGTTTTGTTTAAGTTTTCTGTGTTTTTCTTTGTTTTCTATGTGTTTTTGTTTTTTGTTTAAATTTTATATTTTTTGTTTTTGTTTGTTTTCTATTTTTTTTGTTTAAGTTTTCTATGTGTTTTTGTTTTTGTTTGTTTTCTGTGTTTTTGTTTTTGTTTAAGTTTTCTGTGTTTTAGTTTTGTTTAAATTTTTTATATTTTTGTTTGTTTTCTATGTTTTTTTTTTATTAAGTTTTCTATGCGTTTTTGTTTTGTTTTGGGTATTCTCTTTGCTTGTCGTTTCGTTGTTTGGTATTTTCCCTTGTTTTCGTTTTCTTTGTAATTTGTTTGTGTTTTCTTTATTTAGTATTTTCTTTGTATGTTCTGTTTGCTTTGTCTTTTATTTGTATGTGTTTGTTTTATGTCGTGAAAGTGATCAGCTAATGATCATGCTAACGAAGGTGATATATAAAATGATGATAGTGATAATAGTGAGGATGATTATGAGTAATAATAATAAGAATAATGATAAAAATGGTGATAGTGATGATATTAGTAATAATGATAATAACGATTAGAATAATGATAGTGATGACGATGGTGAGAAAGAGACCGAAAAACAGACAAACAGAATAACGTTGAGGAATGTTACACTTAAAAAAGAAAAGAAAGAGAAAGAGAGAGAGAGAGAGAGAGAGAGAGAGAGAGAGAGAGAGAGAGAGAGAGAGAGAGAGAGAGAGAGAGAGAGAGAGAGAGAGAGAGAGAGAGAGAGAGACAGACAGACAGACAGACAGACAGAGAGAGAGAAAGAAA